GCATTACGTGGTTATTCCACAGTAGTTGATTGTCTTCGACTCAAATGTTCATTGAAATTTCGGTTCTGACCCTAAAAAGTCATGTCCCGGCGATTTAACTCCAAGTTCTGCATTGATTAATTTCTGAAATTATTCACCTGATATATATATATATATATATATATATATATGGAACTACGAATTATCTGACGTTAACCAGAGAACCAGGTTCTCGATACGAGGTCAATCAAACTTGAAGTGGGTTACGGCATGCTGACGCCGGCCAATAGGCAGGAAGCATACATGCCAGTCTCCCATGTCGTTGCCGATATTTCTTCCTCGTAGTTGCAAGGCAAATGCTAACATGTGCTCTACGCTGAGCTCCAAGGCATAAAGAGGCGGACATGATCAGTAACCTGCCCACACATATACATGTATTGAAGAACGGACATCCCAGGAAATAAAAGTGGCATCTGATGATATTCTTAGGGAGAAATGGAAATTTTATCATGTAGATTTTCGAGACTGGCCCTATTCACCTGTTCAAATAAGACATTCCATCGGTTTGTATCGTAAATCCCGACCAGCCACCACCCATAATGCCCCTATTTCCACCTGTCCCATAAGACAGGCTGCTTTGGTTAAGCGGATTTTTTTGAGTGCCATCTCCCGATTGTTACCTCCCTACGCTTGCCGTCAGACAATGGGTCGTGTACATGATTAATTAGTCACTTGTTTTTGTAAATTGCCCATAGTTTGACAACGAGCAAATGGGTCAGCCTCGAAAATGTACATGATAGAAGATATAAATTTTCCAAAAGAATGTCATTGCTCCCTAAATATATATGCATATGCAGAACGGCATTCCCCTCCACCACACATATGTGCATATACAGTGGGTGTGCTACCTCATGAAATGTCAACCGAAATTCCGAAATGTGCATTTCCTTTGGAAAAGATTAATTAAATAGGGTTTAAAATTAATCATAGTGCAGCATAATTATATAATAATTCAGCTACCTCATGATGTCGGCTTTCGAACGAACTTCTGTTCGGCTGCATGCAAAAACTATACTCCATAAAAATAACTACATAAGAAACGTGCATTTTTCCCATTTATTTTCGATGCCCTTAAAAATCCAATTATATTTCATATAAAAAATGCATAAACATATTCATGCTCCTATTCATTCGGTAGAAAATTAAGTCTTCTAATTTTATTCTCGAAGGAAGGGTATAATTCGGTTTTTAAAAACTCTTCCAATTCTCGAATAATTTTGAACTCGACCTGCCGCCACACTTGCATTCAGGGTTTCCAAACTACAAGCCGTGTATTTTCCGCTTACGAAACACCAAACATTTCTCCACGATACTAAGAGGAAACCATAGGGGGTCCTTAACATTTGGCAGCGGATTTGTTAACTTTGCAAGCCACATACAGTAGATGTGCTAACTCATGAAATGTCAGCCAAAATTTCGAAAGGCGTTTTCGTTTCGAAAGGATAAATTAAGTAGTGTTGTAAAACTAATCACGATGCAGCATAATTCTATAATAATCTAGTTACCTCAGGGTGTCGTCTTTCGAAAAAACTTAATGTCGGCTGCATGCAAGATCTATACTCTGCAAAAATGACTATTAAGTGGTATGCAATTTTGCATGTCTCCAAGGAGAGATCGCATTCGACGCAGAAGCTCTGAAGGCTTCCGATCACCCAGTGACTCCTCCTTAAGTAAATGGTGATACCGCTGTCGGTCAGACACAGAATTAAGTCGGAGGATTTCCGCCTTTAACGTGGAGTAAGGAGCATCTGCAGGAGAAGTAGCTAGCAAGGACTGAACTTGAGAGATGACACTAGCGGGGAGGACCTCCACAAGTTTGTGGTATTTGACTAGTTCCTTGATAACGTTGGCAGAATAAAAGGCTGATTCTATGCGGATGAAGTGAAGTTCTGGAGCGTGTTGCCAGAATTCAGGCAAGGTAAAATTGATTGCATCAAGAGACTGGGCGGGGGATCAAGTTGTTGATTGGAGTGAGACATAATAAGACAGAGATGGCAAAATATCAGAATTCGTGAGGAAAGTAAATGTAAATAGAATAGATATTCACAAGCAAATAGTACGTTAAATGTTATCCAGTATGACAGAAAGGTATAAAGTCTGCGTTAACGTCGGGAGTCGCCAATGTCGTAAAAGGTAATGTTCTGACGAAATAACGAGTTATATCTCACGAGGCCCTAGCCTTAAAGGCAGCAAGTAAATCGGAGCAGTGAATAAGATAGAGATTTTGAACGTTAAGAAAACTGACAACAGACCACGACAGAGGAGCACGCTAGCAACGCGGGTTGTACAGGTGTGTCGTTTCTCGTCACATTCAAACAAGCCATGCGGTCAAAGAAAATGAGACCAAATTGTCAAAGGTAAATTAGTCAGGTACCTCACCACGGGGAGACTGAGGTGGTTGTTTTTTGGCTTTTCAGCCATATCCAACCTCAGCTTTGCGGAACCTGGGGCCCGAACTTGTGTTCTTTAGTCATTGAGCAGTATTAACTCCAAACCTCACCATTCAGCTACGAGCTCGTTACCCTGTCGGTTATGATGGAGTTTATTTACTATGGTGGGTTACAATCAGGTACTGAGGAGCGTTTATTCCCTT